CTTTTGTTGGTATTTTTTGAGATAGGGCCTCACTAACTTTTCCCCAGACTGGTCTTGAACACTCAATCTTTCTACCTCTGCCTCTGGCATAACTGGTATTGCAGGCGTGCATCACCACACCTGGAGCTCTCCTCAAATTCTTTATTTCCTTTATTGGGTGGGGAGACCCAACTTTGATAAGCAACAACCCACTTATAATTGATATTGCTAATTATTGATTCCCTTTCAGTACCTGCCACCCACCATGCAGGAGTCACAGAATCTGAGTGGGAGTGAAATCCCATACCTGGATGGGAAGTTAATAGGATCAATCAGGAGAGTCCCAACCTCTTGTCAGTATGATGGTTTTAGGCAGGGACTATCGCCCAGGCCTAATGCAATAACCACCTGCCATTTTGCTGGCCACTGTGATTGGTTCAGGGATAAAGTAAGTTGATTTAATCAGATGAAGTTCAATTTTGTTCAATGAATAGGTCAAGGGAAACTCTCCTGGGCAGTGTGGTAAATAGATGGTGATGTGACTCCTCCCACGCCATTACCAAGCCCTGTGGATTCTGTTCTGTAAATATCCCTGAAACCCCCACTCTCACCTTCATGTTCATGGCCAAGCTTGGTTGAGACTTGCATGATCTCCTTCCTCCCCACTCTTACTGCCTTTACTTTCCTACTCTTCCAATCCACTCTCTAGTCCCAGTGACCATTTCAAATGGCAGATGTGAACTTGTCAATTTCCTACTCACTTGCAGGTAGGGAGCATGGCAGATAGCATGAGCTTTGAAGACAGATCATTTTGAAACCTAGCTCTGCCACTTAGCTGTGTAACTTTGAGCACGTTTCTTAATCTCTATTATCACTTGTCCCAGATATAGTGACAATACTGTAATAGTCAGGATCGTTTTGGTTACCAGTGACAGAACTCTAACCCTAACTCTCTAGGCAAAAAAGAGAGAGATTTATTAACTCAAATGATCAATCAAAGGACAGCAGTACTATAACATTACAGAAATAACTAGGATCAATAATTCACAAATGGCCTGTTCCTGCTTTGCCTGTTTTTGCTGGAGGGCAGGGCAGGTTAGCTTCCCATCTTAGCTTCTCTGAACTTTGACCATTTTGTTGGATTGGGTAGTTCATGAATGGCCAGCATGACCACATTATCCAGTTTAGGTATAGTAAAAGACGGAAAACTAGCTGGGTGCTGGTGGCTCATGCTTGTAATCCTCGCTACTCAGGAGAATCTCGGTTCAAAGCCAGCCCAGGCAACTAGTTTGCAAGACCTTATCTTGAAAAACCCTGTCACAAAAAATTGTGCAGGTGGAGTAGCTCAAGGTAAAGGCCCTGAATTCAAGCCACAGTACTGCAAAAAGAAAAAAGAAAAGAAAAAAAAAAAAAAACCAAAAAGATGGAAAACTCCTGATGTGAAACCCAAATTCAAAATTTTGACAGAGCTCTCTGGTTTTATCTTGGAGCAAGTACTCACCTAGGGTTAGTCAACAGGGGTCAGGGTAAGGTGTACAAGATAGCAGCCTCCAGTTAGACCACATGATAGAGATGAAATTTGAACATTAATCAGAAGCAATGATATACAAACCAATGGCTATCTGCACAATTCTTTGGATATACAAACCAATGGCTATCTGCACAATTTCAACTTTGCATAGTCTTTCTGAGATAAAGTAAGATGACTAACATCAATGAGCATGATGTACCCACAGCAGTGTGCACAGTACACAGCAGATACTCTGCAAATTTTTTTCTCTTTACTTCATCTTATCCTTGCTCCCAGGGTCACAGTTTTTAGGTAGTACCTTTATATCTTGTTAAGTAGATAAAGGTATCCCCCTCTGAATGGATATACCTTTATGGACATGGTTTGACAAACAGAAGTCACATCTGTAATAAGAAAAATGTGTCCCTTCTTGTAATAAACATAGCCTTGAGCCAAGGTTGTGACTTTGTGGTAGTGTGTGGGCCAAATTTCTCCCTCAATGACTCCTTCTGCCTTGGCCCGTCACCTTTTTTTTTTTTTTTTTTAATTGTTGTGCTGGGGATACATTGTGGCATTTACAAAAGTTCTTACAATATATCAAATACATCATAGTTGAATTCACCTCCTCTGTCATTCTCCTTTATCCCCTCTCTCCCTGGCCCTTTGCCTTTTTATAGTGCACAGCTGCCCAAACTGGGCAGGGCCCTGCTTTCTGAAGGCTTTTACATGTCTTTCAGAAGCCCATGGACTGGTTGCATTGCATGGTAGATGGGCCACAAACTCTGCCCTCTGTCCACCTCAGATGGTTCACCATACCCAGGAAATCATTGCTGTTCCTTCTTGCCCTGGTGCAGGGTCCTCTGCCGTTCCCAGCCCTTCTTCCCTTACTTCTGTTAGCCTCATAAGTCCCAGGCCAATGACACCACTTCTTCAAATCCTTCCTCAGCACACCCACAGCTACACACTACCGCCTCCTCTGCACTTCCAGAAGCCTGCTCTTTATTCTCTACCACAGAACCGATCACATTATATAGTAATTATCTGTTTGCTCATCAGTTCCTTTCCGTTCCCCCTCCAAGTGACTGCAGCTTGCCAGCTCTTCGTCCACTGCTCAGGAATAAAGCTTCTAGCAGACCTCAATGCATGCTTGTTAAATGAAATACTGAATGAATCAATGACAAGGAGGAAGGAGGGGGTAGAGAAAAAAGAGAAGGAGGAGGCTACGGAAAAAAGTTCATTGTTTCACACAGACCTGTGTCTGTTTCAATACTTCCAGTTCAAACAAAAGGAAAAGAGCAAGCAGAGGCCTATGGGAGCTTAGAAACAAAGTTGTTTCCTGTCCCTCCAATTGGTAACATTTGAGAATTTTTTTTTTTAAACCATTTGGGGCATTATCTTCTTTGCCAATAGAAATAGGAGGCTCCTGGAGAGTTCTGCTTGGCTATCCCAGCTAAAGCAGGTAGGGGTTGGAGAGGGGGCATTCTGGATAACCCTCTCTTCTCACCGCCCCCCCCCCCACACATCATCAGGTGGGATCAGCTCCAGAGCTCTAAATATTCCTGTCAGTCTCTTTGGCATTACTGTGGGCCAAAAGAATGAGGTCACTGTCGCCAGTGAAGTCACCATTGCATGATTCACCCAACATCAGTTCCCCACTTGGAGTGGTCTGACATTCCCAGAGCTTCACCGAGAGCATTTAGAACCCAGGGTCCCTGTGAGATGAGCTCACATTTACAGAACAAAAAGCCGAGGCCCAGGGAAAGGGAGCAAAGTTAGCAGGCAATACTAACTTGTGTCAGAGCTGGAACCAAAGTCAGCTCTCCTAGACCAGTGGCCTCCCTTTCTTGCAGCTCTTAAACCTTTCCCATAGACCCTTCTTTCAGAATACAGTCCCAGCAAATGCTGCCAGAGCAAATGGTCCTGCAGACAAAAAAGGCGCAAGCTCTCCTCTCTTCTATAAGTGAAAGTGGCAAGGCCTGACTTTAAGGCACCCACTGCCTTTCTTAACTCTTCATTCGGTACATACAAAGTTATCTTCCAGATTTATTGCTCAATGTAAAGCAGCCAATGTAAATACCTATGCTCAAACGCAATGGGTGGGTCTGGGCGGGGTCTGGAGGAGAGACAGTATGTGATTCTACAAGGAACTCCCAATAATCTTCAAAGTCTTCCTGGGAGAAGAAATCAGATTCAGGGTTTGAGAACTGAGAGCTGGGGATCAAGAAATGATACACTAAGTATCATTTGGGAATACAATAAGTATTTCCCAAAGTGAACAAAGTCCATGAACGCTACCAGTAGTGATAACCACTTCACTTGTCCAGGTTTCCTCACCTACAATCTAAAGGTGAGGGTCCAACGGACCTCTACGCTTGCTGCCTCTCAACACAGCATTTTCTACTACTTGGGAGTCGATGAGAGGAAAGAATTTCCCTTGTGTCAGCAATTTGGGGATGGGGTGCGGTGCGGTGTCAGCGCCAAGTGAGCCTTCGCTCCAGTCCCCGATGTTGAAAGCAACGCTCTGGACCAGAGAACCCGCCCTGGGCAGACCGGTGTTTGAAAACTTTGCCAGACAGAGGGGCAGGGATGGCCGCCAGGATCCCAGGCCAAGTCTTAGGGCAGGAGAGTGTATGACTCCTCAGGGATCACAACCAAATACTATGGAGGGACACTAGGAGCCGAAAGGGGGTCTCGGAAAATGTCGCCTCCAGGAGGAGCACAGGTACATCTCCCAGGTCCAGAGCTAACCGGGGTCTCCCTTTTCTGGCTACTTGGGGGTGCTTCTGTGGTTCCACATGCTGTACCTCCCTCAGTCACCAGTTTCACAGAAAACTATTGAAGCTCGTGCTGTGAAAGGCGTGGGGTTGGTGATGCGGGAGACTACACAATAAGCGCGAAAGGCCCTTCGTTCCAGCTCAAGGGACCCCACCACCCTCCCCGTGCCACTCCGCGCTCCTTTCTAATTTTTTTTTTAAACCCTGTTTGCCTTTCTTCCTGATTTCTAGTTCCGTTGTGCACTTAGAGGCCGTTAGGATGGCTCCTGCCTTCCGGGTGGGGTTTAAATATATATGTATAATTTTGCATGACTATTGCGTCATCGTTGAAATCGTCGTGGTTCCCCGAGAGGCCTCCTCCTTCTCCCGGCATCGGGGCCTGTGGACGCTTCCGGGCGCTGTGGGCACTTTCGCGAGGAGCCCTCGGCTCCGGGAGAGCGATTCCCTGCCGACCCCCTCCCCCAGCGTCCCCCCCACTCCCGGGCTCCTCCTCCTCGCCCCTCCGCGCCGGCCTCGCGGGGAGTCAAGCTAGGGTGAGCCGCAGGGCCGCGCGGCGACAGCGGGGCGGGGGCGGGGGCGCGGGCGCGGGGCGGGCGGCCCGCACTCGGGGGAGGTGCCGGGGCCCGCCCTCCTCCCGGGCCGAGCCGGGCGGGGAGAGCCGGCTGGCCCCTCCCCTTCGCCGCCCTCCCCAAAGTTGCTGTCTCCCCCGGGGCCGGACAGTCTTATGATCCAGCGGATCCTCCTGGGGAGGCCGGGCCTCGGAGAGGGCGCGGGCGCCGAGCGGCGGGGGCAGCGGGCGGGCGCGGCGACTGGGGCTGGGGCGGGGATCCGGGCAGTGACCCAGGCGGCAGCAGCACCCCGGGCCCGCCGCCCCCTCCCCTCCGGCGAGGACAACCACTGCATGGGGCCGGGGGGGCGGCCCTGCTGCGCCGAGCGGCGGCGACGGCGGCAGACCCCCGCCTGGGGCTGAGCCCGGGGCCGGGGCGAGGGCTCCGGGGGGACCATGCCCGGAGGCCGGCCGGCCGCAGCATGGCTCACGGGCCCGGCGCGCTGATGCTCAAGTGCGTGGTGGTGGGCGATGGGGCGGTGGGCAAGACGTGCCTGCTCATGAGCTATGCCAACGACGCCTTCCCTGAGGAGTACGTGCCCACCGTCTTCGACCACTACGCCGGTAAGCCTCGGAACTGCTGACTAAGGGGCCGCTCCCCGGGCCGGGAACTTTGGAGCAACTTTGGTGGAGGTCCCCCGGCTGCCTCCCCTCAGCGCGCTCCCCACCCTCCCCCGCCGCGCCCTCCCCTGGCAGCCCCACCCCCGAAACTGTACCCCTGGCCACCCCGCACGGCAGCTCTCACCCCTCTTCCTACGCAACCCCCCGGCTCCCTGCACGTCCCAATCCCCTAGGCGCCCTCCTTGACCTTCCTACAGTCTCCTCCCCTACTGCCCCAAACCCCTGGGGGAAACAATTGGGAGTACCAGGCGAGACGTGGCTGTGGGACTTGGGAGAAGGGGGCGGACAGCTGGGGGCCATATCACACCCTTCTCTCATGCCACTTCACAGTGAGCTGGGCACAAAGGAAAAGGGGGTGACATCTTCCAGGGAGCGCGCCCACCCGCCTCCAGCTGGGTTGGGAGAGGAGGGTACCAGGGTGGGAGCGAAATTGCCCCAGAACCCGGGTCACTGTGAGCTGTCTTCCCATCCCTACTTCTGTCCTTGCAGTCAGCGTCACCGTGGGGGGCAAGCAGTACCTCCTGGGACTGTATGATACGGCTGGACAGGTGAGTGTCTTGGCCTCTGGCCCGCACCCTCTCCCTTTCCCCAATTCTGTGTGGCTGTGCAGGGCCTTTGGAAACTGAGTTGTCTAGATGGGAGGCACCCTCTTTCAGAGGCACCCTCTGGCTCACGTCTTTTCTCAAGTCTGCAAATTAGGAAAACAAACAAAAAACAAATGTAGACCAGCCCACCAATGTGAACCCCTGAGATGTGAAAGTTTGTGCCTGTGTGGGTCCTTCTGTGTGTCACCTGGAGTGTGGGTCCCAACTCCTGTTGCAAACTGGCAGTGGCCAATGGTGAAGCGCCCTTATTTTTAGTCTCAGATGACCAGGTCTCCCCCTCACAGCCTCTGTCTGATCCCTCATTGGTGAGTGGGCTGCACGCCGGAGGAGTCTGATTGGTGGGAAATGGCATCATCTAACATGATGGGAAGGCATTTGGTCCTGGTTATGTTTATTACAACATCATAGCACTCTGGGACTCCAGTCCCTGAAAACGTAATTTGTGGTGTTACCAGAGGACCATAGGGAAAAAGAAAAGAAATAACAACCATCCAGCCACTCCCTGGGGGTGGAGTGGGAAAGGGTTAGGAGTTCAGCATCAATCTTGGAGGAAGAGCTTTTTTCCCCTTAGGAGGGCCAGGTGACTTTGTCTGGGTTTTCTTTGGAGACATTATTGTGCAGAAAGAAAATGAACACTTTGCACTGCAGCCTCTGGCCAGTGTTTACAAATCAGAAGTGGCCAGACTGTGTTCCTAAAAGATTAAGGCCTTTTTTTCCTGTCTCCTTGTCCTAGCTCCACGCCCTTTGCAGACCCACCTTTCCTGTGGGGTGAAGAAGATTGTATGTGAAGTTTTGCAGAATCTAGTTCTATGATTTGACCTGAAGTCTCAGGAAGAAGTTTTTGTTTGTCATAGAAACTTAAGTCCTCGAGGACATGCGAGCAGCTGAAGGGCCTTAGACAGTGACTTTGGGGGAAGTCCAGTAATTGAGCTTCCTTATTCATAAGAAGGGGTAAAGACCACCGCCCTTGTGCAGGCACTGTGCCAAATGCTTAGCACTGAGCATAGCACATACTTGGTGCTCAGTAAAGGGAGTGCTACTTTTTTGGTGCTTGTCTAGATTTGGCTTTCACACTTGTGGTACTTGGTTAGATTCTGTGTTGGATTCTAAAAGTGTTTTATTGCAGGGAATGCCTTGACATAGCCTTGGTTTTTAAACTGTCAAGTTAGAGGAACATCTGAGGATGGAGAACTGCTGGCAGTTGAAAGTGTCAGAGACTACCCATTCTCTTTCACCAAACTGGCCCAAGTCTGTATTGGCCAGTTCTCAGCTTTCCAGGTCCCATTTTGGTTGCCTGCCTTGTTGTTCCTTCTCCCTTCCCCAGAAGATGTGGAAGGCAAGAGGCAGAACTCATCCAGTCAAATAAGACCAACTTTTAAGTGGTACAATTGAGAAATAAGAAGTTGACGTTATTGGTTGAAAAGAGAGGTTTTAAAAATTGTCTCTAATTTTAACATCTCTCACTACCTCCTCTTCCCTTCTGTACTTGTTATGATGATCAGTTTTTGACCATGAAGCCTATTCAACTGGACAAGTGTATGTCAGCTGTTCTGTGTATACTCAGATCCAGCTGTTTACTGAGTTCCTTCTACATATCAGGCATGGGGTAACCACATGCAAATATTACTTTACTCCATAACCTTGTGAGGTGATGGTGGTATGCCATTTCTGAAGATGAGGAAGTAGGCTCAGAGAAGCTAGGTTGTTTGCCTAAGGTCACACAACTGAGGGTGCTGCTGACATGAAGACCTAAATATGAAACTGCTCTAATTTGAAGTCATGAGAGGTACAGAGAAGCTCTTCATGGTGGTTGGGTTGTTTTGTGCACATAGATGAGGTACAGCCATTCTCTGTGTAGGGGGTGTATGCCACCTCTACAGATCAGAGAATAATCCAGAGAACCAACCCAAGTTGACCTTACTTACAGACCATAATTGCTTTTTCCAGTTCAGGATTGTCAGGTATATCCCAAGCAAGATCAACATAAGGCTCCATGTTAATGTTACTATCCCACCCTACTCTCTTGGCCCCCTTGATGTTTCTCCCAATGGCAAAGACTTTTGACTTTTGATCAAAGTTAGTAATAATTCATCTCTTATTACTAATAAGCAAACTTAGCCATGATGAGACCAAGTGACAAGTACCTGTCATGTGCTTGTCACTTGACATATGATGCTTGTCATATGCCAAGCATCTGAGGAATACAAAAGAATAAATGTAAGGTAAGGATCTTCTACAACTGATGTCAGCATAGTTACGGTGTCTGGATCAGATGCCTGTTCCTGTTACATAGGAGATTTCTGTGTTATACTAGGTCATTAAGCCCTCATGCTTCTCTGAATTGGTATCAGATTCCTTTGATAACAACAATAAGGGTAAATGACGCATACACATACGTGCATACATATATATAGAAAACTTTCAGCCAGATGGGCAGCAGAGGAAAGCCCATGGGCTTTAGACCTCAACAGGCTTGAGTTCAGATCTCCATCATGTTGTACTAGTTGTGTGATTCTAGCCAATTTATTTACCTCTTTGTGATAGTAAAAATGTGGATGATTGGCTCTATGCTGTAGAATTGTAGGCTCTCTTAAATTCCTTTATCTATGTAAAAGCAGCTGACACTGTTCTTTGTGCATAGTAGGTATTAAAAGATACCGTAAGACGTTATTGTACTCCACTGTGAGCAGTTCCTTTTTTTGGGGGGGGAACATGTCACTGGAGGAAAAGGACAGTGAATTATGTCTGGAGTTGATAGATGCCACTAGCAGGTCAGATCCTAGAATCTTTTCAGCAGAGTTGTGGAGCCAGCTTCAGAGCCTGCAACTCATTAATGTCAGAGAAACAGCTAAGAGTTCTGTGTAGACCTTGAGAAGCAAGGGGCGTATGTAGGCTCTGGTTGGTTCTTTTTCAGAGAGGTAAGATGGGATGAGGAGGAAGCTCATAGCACTGGAAAGCACTTGCTTTCTCTACAAAATGTTTGCCCATGCACATAGGCGCTTCCTGTACCTATTTAAATAACAGCAACAGTACCTCCTCAGGTTGGCACCTCTTAGTCCACTTGCACTTGTTTCCTCTTGGCCTTCTCCATGACCCCAGACAAGTTCAAAGCCAGTCAAAGGAATATCGCAGTAGATGACCTTTTGCCTCCTAGAGCAGGCTTCTGTCCATCTGACTTCTGCTGCTATGAGGAGAGAGAGACAGAGAAAGAGAGAGAGAGAGAGAGACAATATGAATGAGTACAAGAGTGTGTTGGATATTAGTCCCCATCATGTGCTCTGTCTAGGGAGATCCCTCAGTGTCTCCGCTCACTCACTAGCATTGCTGCCAAAGGGAAGCCCTTCCCCCCTTCCCTTTCTTGGCTGAACCCCTGGTGGTCCAAGGGCAGTGTGACATTTTGACTGCCAAGCATTTTGGAGTGGAAGTTGAAAGAGTCCCCTTCCTCCTCACCAGGGCCTCATGGGGAGGTTTGGCTTTCTGCCTAGGCTCAATAGAGCTTCTCCTTTTGTGCTCAGCTTCTCAGGACTTCAGCACAGGCTCTGGGGTGGCACCCCCTCCCCCAGGCTCAGGGAGAGACTGGAGAGGTGAAATTGTCCCACCCACCTCTGCACTGTTTGCAGTGAAGGGAAGTGGGCTGAGCGCTCCCTCTGCCCAGACAAGCTGCTCCCTAGCTGTGGCCTCTAGGCTGATCTCTTAATCCTTGGCAGAAAGGCAGAACTTGATGTGCTGAAGAGGGAAGCACTGAAGCCCAGTGATCCTGGGTCCTAAAATACCCACACTCAGGAGGATGTGTGTTGGGGTGAGTTTGGGATCCCTGGAGTTCCAGATTTTGTCACTGTCTTAGAGTGTGGAAGTCATATATATGCTGTGGACATGCAGTTGCTTTGTCTGCTCACTTAAACACATAAGTTCAGAGATGCATACATGAGAGCTATAAATATCCTTTACTCCATTGTCCCCTGGGGTAGCTTTTCAGTGACAAGTGAGATTTGTTTCACACTTGATATAGCTCAACAGCTGTGGCTGCCTGTGAGCCCACTGGGTGCCTAGGGAGTCATTTCCCCTAACAAAGGGAATCTCCACTGGAGGCAGCCAAGGCAGGCCCCTCCTTCTGCATTTCATGGGACAGCACCCAAGGGCCCAGCATAATGGGAAGAGTGAGGGTATTGCCACTCCAACCTTGGGCCTGGGCTTGCTCACAAGGTAGACTTTTCCCAGGGGAGGAAATGGGAAGTGAGTGGGATTATGGGAACCAGACAGAGATGTGAGTCACAGAAAGGTTTTCCTACCCTGGAGAGGGCCTGCTTTGAACATAAGTAGGGTACCAGGCTTCAGGGCCCTGCAGCCCCACATTCCATCCCCGAGGGACTGAGGAAGCAGAGTCTGGGCGGAGTCCCAGGGTTCCTTCGCCAGATGTCAGCTGCAACAGGTGAGATGCTGGCACTGAGCATCCTGGTTTCCCTTAGTAACCTACTGTAGATTTCTTGTCTGTGCATTTTGCTAACCTTTTTAGAAGCTATTTATATCTTCAGCCTGTACCACATCACACAGGAATGTTGCTTTCCTCTGTGTGTTCAGAAGGTGAATGGCCTTTGTCCACTGCCAAGCCTTTGCCATTTAGAATGCTCTGTGTTCCCCTCCTCGAGACTCTGATGTCAGTTTGGAACGTGCTAGCTCAGACCCAGCAGGCAGAAACCATGGGGTGGGGTCAAAGCTCACTGGCTCTGATTAGCTTGAGGTCCTGCCTCAGCTCTGCCCATGTGCTTCCTGGCTCTTTGATCCATCTGGCTTCTCCACTTCTATCATGATTTTTCTGAAGTCTGGCGACATTTTGACTCTTTAAACCAAAGCTTTCCAACAGGTATACCAGGTGTGAGGGTACAGGTGTGCCAAGACACTGTTTCATTACCTCTGAGGAGCTTCAAGGGGGATGGATGGGCATG